TTATCATTTTCTGTAAGGCCTTTGTATAACTAGCAGTAAGTCTAGGAGATGTGGGCATTCTTGGTGGGGGTAGGAGTATCTTTGCTCAGAGTGCCTCATTCTGTTTTGATTCTGCCAGTTTAGAAGGAATAGGAAAATGGGTGAAAGTTCAAGGTACAAGGTACACAGTTGTGCTTTCTCATGGGACTTTCCAAACTTTCCCATGAGACTTTCCGTGGCTGTATGATTTCATCCTAGCAAGGTAACATCTGGGACTTTCCAAGATTGTGTGTTCTCATGCTGGTGAAGTAATCTCCTGTTGAGGTCATTGTTTTCTGAATATGCATACTGTATTTTGCTTGTGTTTTTTCTCAATAAATACTGCTACCTGAGTTCTCTCAGGGTTGGCATTTTTCTCAGAGACAGTTCCCTGTGTCTCATTTCAATGTCAAACCACCATAAATGTAAATAATGAAAGATAAAAATATTGAGACACGTGTTCATATGTATTGTCTATGTCTGTCTGTCTGTCTGTCTGTCTGTCTATCTATCTATCTATCTATCTATCTATCTATCTATCTATCTATCATCTATCAGATATGTGCTGCCCATTTTGTCAAGAAGCAACTTGTTTGTGATTGGTTTCTTTGTAAAGGATTATGTGAGGCTTTAAGCTTACACTGATATGTGGAATATACAGCCCCTAAAAAGCAAAGAAATGATCACAAAAAAGTGGATAGCTAAATGTAAATGTGTTCTTATTGAGGATATCACATGCAGTAGCTACCAAATGACATTTCATGGCATTTCCAGTACAGAATATGTGATATTCCAGGAAACATATAGCAATAACTTTGATAGATGAGCAACAACTACAGCATCCTAATAATCGCCACTAGGAAAATGTTATATTCCTGAGATATAACCAGTTGTTCAAGGTCCCGTGTCCCCCCCAGCAGTCCCCCTCAAAAGAGATCTGAGGAAAAGAGAATCAGCCTTAGTGGGAAAACAAATATAATAAAGAACATATTAAAAAACAGCATTGTGCAGCTATTTCATCTTTTAATATTTAATGATTTTTTTGCTGGAAGGAAAAATAAAATGTGTACAAAGATAGAAGGTGTCATTTGGAACCACCAGTCGTGTAAATGTTTTGTGATTTGGAGTGGATAATTGCACAATACATTAATCATTTGAATAATCTTGTTCCATTTGCTTGAATCAGAATCCAAACTTGAAATAAATTCAGTT